TATTCATCATGTTCATCATATTCATTATGTTCATCATGTTTATCATGTTTATCATGTTCATCATGTTCATCATATTAATCATATTCATCACATTCATCACATTCATCACATCAGTCACACTCATCATATTCGTCATATTAATCAAATTCATCATATTCTATTTTACGCTATGTATCTACCCTAATTTACCATCAATATCGATTTCATCAATTCGAACCTAACCATCGATTCGAACAAATTTATTCGCAAAATTGTAACGTACAACACGAATATCGAATCCCCTCCTCGTTCGCGTCAAAAACCTCGATATTTTAACTTGAATGACTATCAGTCGACACGCGACAGAAAGAAAAACGCTTACTAGCCTCGATAATGATTTTTTGCCCGTAATATTTTTATTTTTTTTTTCTTACGGTGAATCGGTCGTTTCGCAGAATCGAAGATACATAGGCATTACATGGGAATTCTGAAAGTTTGCATGTAATCGGTACACGGAACTAGCATTCGAGCGTAACTAGTTTACCAGTTTCATCATTCATGTATTACTCGCTATTTTATCGAGCACGTGCAAGAAAAGGGAACTCATGCGTTACAGTTAATCGAGAGACACGCTTACTATGTTGTAATTTTGGATCGGTGGCAATTTTCATTCATGTTCTGCACGTAACGTGAACGATATACCGTGTTGGATAAATGATTATTTTTTTAGTACACTTAAATAATTCAATGTACTAATTTTAATACATTGAAATAATATCAAATTAATTATATAGGGAGTTCTTGTAGGGAGTAGGATGACAACTAAAGTTTAATATGAAGTATACAGAACGGTCATTTAACTGTACTATCTGTTAATTGTAAACTGTCTGTTGAACAAAATATTTTAATAAGAAAATGTTCTACTTGTTTTATTAAATTTTTTTTCTTATCGAGAGATGAGTGTATTGTAATAGTTATTTCTGTAACGTACGACGTGATTTATGTGAGATAAATATCCACAGCCCTATCATCGCCTTCTCTAATTATTCTATGGTTAGTAAGCATTAACAGGCAAAGATAATAGAATACCATTCAGTAACCAGACAGTGATAATAATTTACTTCAAACTTTGCTGATAACTCAAGCAGCTACAAAATCAAATTTTCGCGAATCTTTTTATAATATTTCAAATAAAAGATAATACGAAACGGGATAAGAATTTGTCACGCGATATGATTTAAATACAACATTGCATTTCGTCATTCAAATTCTCGTTTCATGGAATTCATTATGATAGTTTTTCCATTACTTTTTGAATAACAACGAACCAGTTTCCTGAATCGATTAAGAATCTAGAATATGGTATATTAAATTCTTGCCTCAAGATACAACAAAATTCCACAGAAATGGAGTAAACTTTTGACCACGCTGAAGAGTATCTGAATAATAATTTATAATTAAAGCGAACATTTGATGACAGCAGTGTACATGTGTGTCTACGTGTACATGTAGATTGGTTAAAATTTGACCTCGATCGGTTGTCGTCATTTCGGCTAATCTTAAATACAATACATATACATAGTCAAAGTGTGTTTGAACGTGGATAAATCTTTGTTTGAGTTTCTTGTGTTAGTGATCGAAATTCGCAATTGCGATTTGCATGACACAAGGAAAATGCCACGCTAATATATCACTGGTTCTAGGACGTATTAGAATCTAGAATCATTTAGAGACATAAAGTTTCAAATTTTTTTAATTTCCATATTCGCAAATTAGTCCATTTTGCAAATTTTCACATTCTCAAAGTTTATATATTTAATTCCTCAAATTTCTATTTAAATTCTTAAATACTTTCATACCCCAAATTTTTACATTCCAAGTCTTCACATTCTTAAGCTACACATTCAATTTTCCAAATTTTCAATTCTCTAAGTTTCTGATTTCTAGATTTTCCAATATCTCTACATTTCCCAAAGTTCCTCCTTGCACAAACTTGCACATAATCCAAATTTCCATGTTAAAAATTTCCCAAATTGCTAAATTGTCAAACATCCGATATAAATTTCTCCAACCTCTCAAATCTCCCAAATTCTCAACATGTTTTAATTTTAAGTCTGCATTCCTAACTTCTGGTATCTGCAAGTAATACATATACAGTTATACATAGCAAGTATGTATAAAGTCCCCCAAAGTTGCAGAACTCAGTTTCGATTAAACATTCGCGAAACAATTGCTTCGAGCACCCTAATCGAAGTGTCATGAAACGCGTCACGGTGGACGCTGATCTACCCCATCACAAAACACAAAACAATGCGAAGAGAAAATAAAGTGTTTGGTCAAACATAGTAAAACGATGGTCTCATGGTTCGTTTCGTAACCCAGGTTTAAAGATACACCCTGTCACACCCGGTCGTTCGGTAAAGAAATCGGTTTTACGTAGACGGCTACGATACAGATAAAACGACGCTAGCGACACGCTAATCAAAATCGAAGATTGTGCAATTTTTTGGAGGCCCGTTCATTCGGGACGAACGTATCGACGAGATATTTAACTGCGCAGTTATTAAACATTGCGAAATACAGCCACCCACGCGGCTTGTGTGTGCGTATTTATGAAATAATTTCATATCACGCTTCGCGTTAGTGATACAGATGCTTGATACCGTCACTTTTTCTCATTCTTGCAAATTTTCAACCGATTCGGATCGTCGTTGCGATTCAACGTTGATACTTGACTTGCTAGTCACGTTTCTGGACTCGTTCAGAACTTTGGCTGGTTCAGGATTTACAATCGAATTAGGACCACTATAAATTTTCAACGTTTTACACGTTTTTGTTAAAATTGAAAGGTCTGTTCAAATTGTACTTACGTGATTTATTAGCTAGTAACATAATACGCAACTACTATACATGATATTATTAACACATGTGAATATCTTATATGTCCTTTGCCTTGGTCACAGCTTATGGCATGCTAAGTATACATTAATCAAATGCTTTATATCTTCATTATTTTCCCAAATACATGTAATTCTTTTCAAGTTAGATAATGTGATTGGAGAGTTGTAAACTAGTTTTCTGAGTAGATAGACATTTTCTACAGCATTCAAATTTCACCTGACGCGAAATTTCACCCACACAATTTGATTGTTATCGATAGTAACGAATCGCTATGTATATACGTGGTCCTAACTTGATGGCTAGTGTATATAATATTCTTCAGGACATGATATCTTTTCTTAAATAAAACATAATTTGTACCGCAGTGTGTGCACATCGTTATTGAAATTTATGTATCTATTTTTTACTCGAAATAGTGGATCACCTAAACTGTAATTAGGGACACTTTTCTGTGGGAAAGTTCCGAGTTCGTAATGGACGATTGTTCGCGTTTACCTGGCTCGTTCACCTGGAAAAATTGTGAAGACCAGTCTCGCAATAATGTTTCTTTCTCTTCGTAACGATTTGCCATAGAAGGGTAGCGTTCTGACAATAAGAGACGGAGGGAGAAACGTTTGATCACTGAACTGGAACTTGGGAATAGAAAGGAAGGTATCAATGAAGATTTCCAACGCGATTAATTCTTTGATTCTTTATTGGCCAAATATCGTAATTCAACTCGAGTATCAGTTGTGTGTGCGTATTTATGAAATAATTTCATATCACGCTTCGCGTTAGTGATACAGATGCTTGATACCGTCACTTTTTCTCATTCTTGCAAATTTTCAACCGATTCGGATCGTCGTTGCGATTCAACGTTGATACTTGACTTGCTAGTCACGTTTCTGGACTCGTTCAGAACTTTGGCTGGTTCAGGATTTACAATCGAATTAGGACCACTATAAATTTTCAACGTTTTACACGTTTTTGTTAAAATTGAAAGGTCTGTTCAAATTGTACTTACGTGATTTATTAGCTAGTAACATAATACGCAACTACTATACATGATATTATTAACACATGTGAATATCTTATATGTCCTTTGCCTTGGTCACAGCTTATGGCATGCTAAGTATACATTAATCAAATGCTTTATATCTTCATTATTTTCCCAAATACATGTAATTCTTTTCAAGTTAGATAATGTGATTGGAGAGTTGTAAACTAGTTTTCTGAGTAGATAGACATTTTCTACAGCATTCAAATTTCACCTGACGCGAAATTTCACCCACACAATTTGATTGTTATCGATAGTAACGAATCGCTATGTATATACGTGGTCCTAACTTGATGGCTAGTGTATATAATATTCTTCAGGACATGATATCTTTTCTTAAATAAAACATAATTTGTACCGCAGTGTGTGCACATCGTTATTGAAATTTATGTATCTATTTTTTACTCGAAATAGTGGATCACCTAAACTGTAATTAGGGACACTTTTCTGTGGGAAAGTTCCGAGTTCGTAATGGACGATTGTTCGCGTTTACCTGGCTCGTTCACCTGGAAAAATTGTGAAGACCAGTCTCGCAATAATGTTTCTTTCTCTTCGTAACGATTTGCCATAGAAGGGTAGCGTTCTGACAATAAGAGACGGAGGGAGAAACGTTTGATCACTGAACTGGAACTTGGGAATAGAAAGGAAGGTATCAATGAAGATTTCCAACGCGATTAATTCTTTGATTCTTTATTGGCCAAATATCGTAATTCAACTCGAGTATCAGGCTTCTAACTGTAAGTTTGGATAATTGAACTAAATCGTGGACTCTGCAGTTGTAACTCCATTTTTATAGTTAGTTATTATACTTAGTTCATGTATTATAAGAAACGCAAGCTGATGGATAAATGCTTTATTACAATTTAGAACCCGACATGAGTTGTTGTGGACAATGACGAAGTGGTTCAAAGATAACTACATTTTGTTTACATAAAGACGAATCTATCCATATATTATTAAAGTAAAAATAAATCAATAAAATATATTCTTTGTAGAAAAATCAACACATGATATTAACAAGAACTTCGTTTTCTGTATTATATTAGTCTAAGCTTTCTCTTTGATACATTTACCAATGTTGAAAATAAAAACTAAACTATCTTAAACTACTTACCGTATTAATTAAATATAATTATCAACTAGTTCTCTTTTTAATGTTAACTTTAATAATCTTACATTTTTTCGAAAAGTCTGTATAATTATGATCAAGTTTCCTCGGAGCATCTAATTCGAACCGCATCTCCGTCAGTAGTATGAATTGTGTTTAGTCAGACCCCGTTTCATTTGTTTTCTCAGAGACCCAGAGAAAACTTTCCATGTCACAAATCAATCGCTATATACTATCTCAGAATTTTGACAGATAAGTTTCTACATTTACCGACAGTATGGAATTAATTCGTTTATAATTTCTGTAGAGGGAGCTCTCAGATGCTTTCGATTTTGGTCTTTAGATTTTAATAGTAAAATTGCAATACTTGATAAATACCAGCTTTTAAGTACCATCGAAATTAACATTCGAGCACTGCGAAGTCTTGTAATATTATCAAGAGAAGTCTTGTAATAACAATGGAATAAAATATTATGTAAAAATTGGAAGTTTGAAAATTTGATATTGACGTTAGGTAAATTAAAAAGTGACAAACAATTGGGAAGTGAGAGTAAGGTCAAAAGATACACATAACGATATATAGCTGATTATTGTTTTTTATTGCATTTAAATAAATAAAATAGTTCGCGCACAATCGCGATAGATTAAGTGATATCAATCTCGGACGCATCGTTCGTTACACATCGAAGTCGCAACATTTGCGACAGTGTCTTTTAATACTTTGTCCGACGTCTGTTACGATTCAATAAATAAATAAATAAATAACTTATAGAAAAAAGAAAAAAATAATACGCGAGGAAACAACGGGACAGTCGATTGCCACAAACGGCATAATTAACGCGAACAGTTCCGTTGATGTTGTTAACGTTAATTAATACTCGGAAATCCCTATTTCTTCATTTTTATGTTGCTAATAATTTAATGCAACGATAAATGCTATATCAGTACGAAACAATAAATAAAACGCCTCTTAACGAGCTAAAAAAAAACGCGTTGCTTGTGTGTTAAGCAAACGTCCGAAAACAAGCAGCGGTCTCGAGACTGTACGAAATCTTATTTACTTGGACGGTAAAAGAAATCAATGAAAATATTGTTGGTACGTCATTAATAACGTACGAAAGAAACAGAAGATCGTTCGTGTGCTAATGCGTAAAATATGAAAAGTTCTTTCTTCTATCGATAAATGTATACGACCGTGTTTTCGTCGTTTCACAGCCACTTGTCTTTCTTCGAATATGAATTTTTTTCTTCTGTTTCTTCGAATGCAATCTCGGAATCGCTACATCGAATGGATAGACAAAAAGGCAAAGTATTCGTGAACGTAAAGCAATCGATTTTCTATCTTGTGCGTTCGATTTATTAACACTTGGACGGTGCAAAATGGCGGGCAGATCAAGTGCCCGTTGGAAAACATTATGAAATACTGTACTGCGATGAAAAATTACTGATTCAAGCAGATTTCATTCAAATTTAGAAATTTGCTATCTTCAAAATTTTATACATTTAGAAATCTGATAATTTTCGAATTTATGTATTTAAAATTAATCGGTTATGTGAATTATATTACCATCAAAGTGTCAATCATTAAAGATAGATTTTCTTTTTGCTCACGTTAATGTTGGCCGCCACAGTACTGTGAATTTGATATTGTCAGATAAGAAAAAATAGTTCAATACAAATCACACTGGTTTGAAATGTCAAATTGAAATGTTACATTAAGAAATTCGATTTTAATGTAACATTTCAATATATAACAAATTTGGAATGTTAAAAATTCGTAAAATTTGTAAATATTTTAGTTTCAAATCTTTCGAGTTATAGCGGTCAACTTATTATAATTATACAAATTTTAAGTTGGAACGATTTAGTGGCAATCAACGTGTTCAACCCTTTGCACTCGATGGTTCTCGTACAGAGACATTAATTCTTTCTGTACTATACTCTCCCAACAAATTGATAATAATTAATATTTATTTTAATATAATTTTCAAACATATTGATAAAAAATACCATAAGGTGAAAAAAGTATGTTTTAAAAATTCTCTATAGATTATTGCATGAGTGTACACCGAATAAAATTGTGAAAGTGGTAATTTACATAACATAGTCTTTTATCCGTAATTGCAAAGAATCTCCACGAGTCATATTTTATTATTTCGATTGATCAAAATGATCAAAAATTATTCAGATCGAACGACTTTAGAAGCACCCTGTACTATCCTTGTATTTCAAACAACATCGAGTGCAAAGTACAAATGCAACATACATAGCAAACATTACCTGAGAATCGATTTCGAACGATTCTCTTTCACCGCGAAGTTCGTTATAAAAATGAACGCAATCGAGATGAGCGCAGTCTACGATCAATAAATAATAAATAAAGCTACCTACATAAATAAATTACTAAACAAGAAAAAAACGACACACGTACACAAAATAAAACTGGGAAAGAATCCACGCGCGGTCGGGAACGAAACCTCATGAAATGGCGGGTATTTCGAATGTTCGAAAGAAGAACACGTTTCAGACGTGATTTGTTTTCGGACATTCTTCCTATCCTTGGACTATCTTCGACGGGGGCACTCGTTCTCTTTCCTCTTCCGTTCCGTAGTTAAATTACTTAGTATCCTAATAGTGTAAGTTTCGTTTAAAGAGTTTAAGCTCGGACGGAGGACGGTCCGTAATACTGTTCAGGCTGCTTATAGAGTCAAGAGATCCTATTGTATTTTCTTCTTATTTTTTTTTGTGATTTTCTCTCGTGTTTCTTCGTTCTTGTAAGCGTTTCTTGGTCTCTCGACTCTGTCTTCGTGTTCGTCCTGTGATTTAGGACGATACTTAGTGCCTCGCGATTATATGTACCGATATTCGTCGCTGTCTTCCCGCCGGCCCTCTTTCATCTTCTGCAATTATAAATAAAATTATCCTGATTAAGACAAGTTGTTTAGAACATATATACAGGGTGTCCCGCAATTAGTGTAGGACCCGAAAAGGGGTGGTAGGTGGGGCGATTCTGAACAACTTTTTCCTTTGCCAAAATATTGGTTGAGGCTCCATTTTCGAGTTATTAGCAAAAAACACTGACCAATGAGAGCGCGCATAGACCGGGTGCGCGAAAGCGTGAGCAAAAGCTTCGAATATGACGGCCGATCGTCGTCGTGAACAAATGTATTGATACTGTCGGTATAACGTCGGTATAACGTCGGAATAACGTCGGTATAATAGAAAGCTGTTAGATGAAAGTTACGTTGAATAATGAATAAAAAAATCTGGATTATTGTTGAATTATCATTCATTCATGAATAAGAAATAACAAAATTAGTCTCTACTCACGTAATCAAAGTAAATCGAATTTATTCGATACGTTTATTCGTTATGGCAAAGAAATAATGGATAAAATATGGAAAATTATTTTCGTTCGATATTGTGATGATGAAAAAGAACAAATTCTCATTTTTAAAAAATTAAATAACTTTTCTATTCAACAAATAAAAATTTGAATTGAATAATTAATAAATTTAAATGTAACTCACCCATTGAACCGCAAATAATCACGATGAAAATGCATCTCTGTCACTGGGTCGATCCACCGATCCTTACTGTTCTCATAAATAATAGAAACTCTGAAAAAACTCTCAAGAAACTTCACTGTCACCTATCACTGTCATCTCTCATTATTAGTTTTCATTATCACTTTTTTCTGTCATTTTTCACTAATTTTCACTAATTTTCACTGTGAGTTCAACACATAAATACGACGAATGAAAACACATAAACGAATATTCAGAAATAATTTAAACTATATTATCTTGAAAGCAAGAAAACAGAATTTTTACCGACGTTATACCGACGGTTTCGATACGTTTGTTCACGACGACGATCGGCCGTCATATTCGAAGCTTTTGCTCACGCTTTCGCGCACCCGGTCTATGCGCGCTCTCATTGGTCAGTGTTTTTTGCTAATAACTCGAAAATGGAGCCTCAACCAATATTTTGGCAAAGGAAAAAGTTGTTCAGAATCGCCCCACCTACCACCCCTTTTCGGGTCCTACACTAATTGCGGGACACCCTGTAGATTGGTATATGAAATATTGTATTTCAGTATGACGTTCATACTGGATAAATAATAATTTCATATTTTTCATAATTAAACTATAATATTATATATACATGTACGAGTATCAAGCATTTAGAAATATCAAGGACTATCTCGGAATATCTAGGGGTTTGTACAAACCCTTGTACAAGACGATTGTGGCTAGGATTATTCATGTATGTCTAAGGATATATACTTATATTACTTTTGTAAGAGATTCATTTTTATATTGTATTTATTTAAGGAATATTAGTAAATACATGCCTTTATTTAACTAAATATGTATAAGTAAGATATTTAGCTAAATACCTATCTTTCAATATTGCTAGTATTTGAAGGAAATTATAAGAAATAACACGACGATAAAATCGCACTGAAACTGCAAATGAATTGCGTGATCGTATCGTGTAGGAAAATTGCACGTTCGACGTAAAGTGTACGAGAGACTAGGCGCGTGCCATCGATTCGTTTCTTTCCTCTCTCGGTCAATTATCATAGCAGATTGCATTCGCAATTAACTGGCGTTAGAAAAAGTAACGAGATCCGGATTGCGGTTTACGTACCGATAACATGAATTACGCGACTAAATAACTCGCTCATAAATTACCTCGTGACTCGTGCCGTGACGTTTACATAATTGCGTGGAAAAATGATTTACACGATAACGGTTTCATCACATTAATCACTGCAACGTTCAGTTAGCAATGTTGCGATCGGGAAGAACGTGAAATGCGAGGAAATATAGTTCAGATTCAAATCACGGTTAATAACATTTTCTACTATTAATGTAAATTTTGTTTTGGTCAATTTCGGTTTTTAAAAATAATTAAATAATTTCGTGATCGTCGTTTTTAATAGTTTTGGTTTTCATATTTAGTTATAAATCTTTATATCTTTAGTTATAAAATTTTACCGTTTTTACTGAAATTATTCACTTCGAATAAAAATGTTAAAAGCTTACCAATGGCAAGGAAAGAATCTTCTCGTCGTCGAGTAGCTCAGGATTGTTCGCAACCATTCGTAAGATGCGCTGCAAGGTTTCGAGACGATTATTCGTGGCGGATCTTCGTCTGCGACCTCTGCAACAGAGAGAACAAAAACATTATTTTAAAATATCCATCAAAAAATAAACGAATAAATAATCTTTTGCTACTTCTTTTTCAGAATTTTCCATTTTAAAAGTCTGTAAATCAAAAGATATCTAATCTTCTGTATACTCGAATTCACGCTTTCTTAATTACTGCTAAAGCGATCATTATCGCCTTCTCCTCAAAATGTTAAAAATAATTCAGATCGCGATCGTTAACACTAATCGCGTGACTTGTGGACAAAAATAGCTAAACACGACGAAACGTTAAGTGGCCAAAAAAGATATATTACTGGAAGATTACAGGTTCCATGTGTAGGCAAATCGACTAATTTCTTTCTTTCTATTCAACACTTCTCCCTTTCAATCTTTCTGTCGTTCTATCTCACTTCGAGCAGAAGTAGTTGCGAACACGCATGTCACACGTGTCGAAAGTGTAAAGGAAAAGATGACACGTGCCAATGTGAAATAACCGGCGATCGTGTAATCCATCCTCGTAAAAACTATTTAGTCGTTATCGTCGGAAAAAGAAGGAAAATCTTAGAAATTATATAAACTATGATTTTTGTTGGAATTGGTAATGCGTTTCATTGAAAAGTTTCCTTGGACTTTTGTAAATTCCCTCGTTTTGTGAGAAGGGTGGGGAAATTAGGTTATGTAAGGTTATTATAAGGTGTGTGGGAACTTAATATTTAAGGAGAGATACGAAGCAATACCGTGATGCGATGTTATACATAATATAATTCTTAAATTAGTAAATTTAATTTTTCCAAATTTTTAGGTTATCAAATTTAAGAATTCAGAAATTTATAAATCTTCATATTCTCAAATCTTTAATGTTAAATTCCCAAGTCATCTAATCCATAAATTTTCAAGTTTCTAATACTTCAAAACTTCTAAATCACTAAATCTCTAAATCTGCAAATTTCTGAATCCCTAAATTTCTAAGTCATCGAATCCCTAACACCCTACCTAAAAAATTTCCAAATTCGCATTTTCTTAAACTTTCAACCCCTCAAATTACCAAAAGAGTTTCAAATCCCAAATATCTAAATTCCAAATTTCTAAATTCCTCAATTCCCTAATCTCCAAGTACCTAAATCCTCAAATAGTCAGAAAATATAGGTAATGCAAAAATGCTACTACATCTCCAATTAACACGAACCATGATCGATCGTTCTGTTTAGTTTATCGCGTCATCGATCGCGAAACATGAAGCGTACGTTTTACATCGAAATCGCAAGCCACGTACGTATGTAACGATGCAGATTGAATAATGTATCGTGGCGACAATGATGGTTCACGTAGAAAGACGAAGGGAAAATACATCGTACACGAAGAAGGTACGCTAATGGATCCTCTAACCGGGTTATCTCTTCGAATGTTCTTTGAATAAATTTGTATTCAACTCGCTGGGAAATTCAGTGAAATCCAAACGACCTTTTCGCGCGCCTTCATTTTCTTCCATTGACGTTTGTCCCTTCCAGATGAGATTAATACACGGTATGTAAACGAGCGGACTGCAGATGGATTCTCTTAGCTTTTTACTTTCGAGTCACATTCTTTCGAGGGACAATGAAACGTCAAGTTGTCGTTACATTGGTCTTTCATGATGGACCAACGTAAACGAATGAAACGATTTCGCGATTCGATGAGACGTCCAAGCACGAGTGTAAATTATTTCTTAACGAACATTTGTTCTAAAACGTTTATTTATTCTAAATCGTTTGTAAGGATATAATTTGTATCCTATAATGTCTGTATCCGATGAGGAATTCTAATATTATTCGTCTTTGATGGAATTTATTAAATTAATTGACAAAGGGCTCTTTTAACGAGAAGTACACGTTTAATAAACATCGATAGACAATAAATAAAATTTTCGTTTATGAGGCCTGAACATTTCTAAATTTAGCCAACATCGCAAAACTTTTCCAAACGATTTGATCTTCGATAAAGTTGATTGCGCATTCCGATTTAACATATAAACGGAACACAATGATTAACGAGCTATAAAAAACAATTTAATCTATCTGTACTACATTTCGTTGCCGTGTGATATAATAACTTTATCACTACTCGGAAATCTCTGCTACAAAACATCTGACATGTTCAGACCTAGATCCCTATATTCCTAGATCTTTAGATCTCTGGATCTTTTTATCTCTACATAGCCTCGAAGATCTCTAGTCAACGATAAAGCTGAACTGCAACTTGATTACGAAACTGATAAACAGATGCGTATTTTGGTTTCAATAATTTATCAGCTGACTAATTATTCCGAGTGGGTTAATTAGGATTCTGTTTACACGTTCAGGAGTGAGAAAACACAGAAAATTACTGTGTTAGTTATATCTGCCCTTTTTTGTCATTCAAGTAAATGGTTTTTCCCCGAAAGTTAATGACGTTTTAAATAACACTTTGTACACGTTAAAATTTCACCGCCATTTGCCAGGCGTTAATAGGCTATTTTTTCTCGTTTCGAGATACGTGACCACTTCGACCTCCTTCATCGTGAGTTTCTGTCCTCGTTCGAGGGGTGGATCACCCTCCTCCAAGCTCCCGAAGATGAGACGTGGAAGCAACAAGTTGAATTTCAATGTTTGGCGCGTCACATTTGCCCTTCCTCTGACGCGAATTGCGCGCGAGCACGTGCGAGGAAAATATTCCGTGGAAACTCGAGGAAAATTGAAAAACCCGCGTGCCAGAAATAGACGGTGTTAACCAGGTGACGTGTACCCTTGCGAAGATTCCTGAACTCGGAATCTGCTTGGTTGCACTACCAGAATAACTTTTTTTTTTTAAATAGATCTTTATTTTCGTACGTAACGATGATGCAATAGACCGATATCTTTCTTCTGTCTATAGCAATCAGCTATCTCTCTGGTTTTTTCTTTCTTTCTTTCTTTGTTACTCCTTTTTGTTCGTAGAGGAAGTATTCGGCGCCTTCTGACTCATGCGAACGCGAGTTCGTGCTATATGCCATTCATTTTTCTCCGAAAAATCGGCACAATCACGTTGAACTTGAATGGTAATCGTTACATAAAGCCTAGTTGTAGACTACCGCGTTAAAGGTTATCGTAGGCCGATTTAAAAGAAGCACGTACATTACCGGTCAAAAGTAACAATCTTATACAACTTATGTTTCTCGATATTATTCGCGTTAAATAATTGTCAGCATTTTATAACAATGATCGCATCGTTCGAGATGCGATAACAATGCATTTGTTTGGATTAGGAGGAACAAAAGACCTTAGACTCAGAGATTATAGTAATCGATATCTATGAATGGATTAATACCATATTATTACTTTACTATTATTTTTTATACCGTTATACTATCATTCTAGTATACTATCCTACTAATTCATAAAGTCTATAATAGTATTATTTCATCATACACTTATCTGTATCATTTTATTCCAATACATTACTATTCCACTTTTATATACCATTATGTCATCGTCCCACTGTAATAAGTATTCCATCACATTAAACTACTGTTAATATTCTACGATTACACTACTATACTTTACTACTATGCTATTTCAATTATTTTGCTATTACCTCACACAACTATACTACTATTTAACTTTTTCATTATGCATATCACTATAGTACTATTCCGCTTACTATACAACTTTACCACTATACTCTAAGTTCGAAATTAAACATTAATTGTATGAATTTCCGTTTATGCATACGAAAAGCACATGCGTCTTTTGAACTTGAATTAAATCTAATTTAACGAGATCGCTCATTTGGTGACTTCTGGCGACATCTCTCGGAATGTACAAAATGCTTCTGCACATTTCCTACTAAATAAACAATTCGTTTATTTTGTGCAAGTTTCATATATTATTTCAGTAAATGATTTCGGAAAATATATGATCATTTTTCACAGACTATTAACAGAACACCTATATTGCAGACCTTTATAAGTTTACAAAAATATTCCTAATATAGCTGTCTAACATTCTACCTCAAAAATATGAAATTTCAACAAATTTTATTAAAAATGTCAATTCAATTTATTATGTAATTGTAAATGTAAAAATTGAAAGAAAGAAAAATAAGCGGACTTCAATCGGTTACGATAATGACGCTTTTGTTCTCGTCATATCCGAAGTCGAATGAGATTAAAAAGCGCGCGACTGATAGGTCGTTTATCTGAACGTTTTATACCGGGAAGAAGTATTAATATAATTCGGCCACGCTCCGTTTCGATAACAATAAATCAACTGTTTGATAAGGGTCAACGTTTCGCGGTGCATATTATGTAATAGCTTACTTACATCTTATCTGGATCCAGTACACCGAATGCAATGGGAACCGTCACTACTTTTCCTCTCACGTTTTCTAATCCCATAAGCGTCTCTAGTTCGGCGAGCCTTTGATCCGATACTCGTCTTTGTCTGCTGCAAAAACAATAGAATGTTGCATATTTAGTTTAAGATGATCAAGAAATAAAAATGGGAGATAGGTGAAAAACTTGTTTAATATTCTTAGGTTGGCATTGTTTTTTGGTAGATATCTTATTAGATTTCAATATTTCCATATTTCTGAATTAGTGGTTTTAGATTCTTTATATTTCTATAAATTCAGATTTCTATATTTTGGGTTTCTATATACTCCTATTGTATTTTCAAAATATCTATATTTTTGCAATTGTTCTTAGATCCCTAGGTCCTCCAGATTCTCATATTTCCTAGGTCCTCCTTGGAGATTTGTATATTTTCTAGGCGCCTATGTTTAGAAATCTCTACACCCCTATATCCTTATATTCAGACTCTTATATTTTCTCAGTACCCGCATCTAGATCTCTATATTTCCGAAATCTGTATATCCCTGTATCTCTATACTCCCAAGTTCTTACATTTCCTAGATCTCTATATTCTTTAGAACCCTGTATGGTCATCATCAAGTGTTACTATCATATCATATCATCTACATATAATCTCTATATTCCTTAGCTATACATTATATGTATATCTCTTAGACCCCCATATCCCTCAGCTACGTACATCCCTTACGCCCCCATATCCCTCAAATTCCTACACCCTCTAAATCCCTGTATCTCCAAAATTTCAATACCCTCAGATCCCCAAACCTCCAGATCCCCACATTTTTCTAAATTCCATAATTTCCTAGTTCTCCATACCTTCAAGATACCAATGTCCTTATCATCCTACATTTCCAGATTTCGTATCTTATAGATTTTTATAATTTTCTAGACTTTCATATCATACTGTACACACACTCACTCGAGTTTGTTCATTACGAACAATATTAATCACGTCTGACAGTATCTCGAGTTAATTATAGACATCTAGTCTGTAAATACGTCCGCATTACAAAGATAAAGGTGTTCCTAGTCTCTGAATTCCCCGGCTTTTTTACAATTATCTGATACGTAGACGCAATCATTGATTAAGATAATTGCAGGAAAAAACGTCGTATTACGAGTATGTACCTGTGTGTAATATTATTATCATTACTATTATTTTACAGTAATATATACTATCATTATTACTATTCAGTTTTTGTATTTTTACTCGAGATCATTGCTATTTTAGTTTAATTTGCTATAATATTGAATATATGATTAAATTGCTTGTATAACAGATTTAATATTTAAGTATTAAAAATTGTTTTAGATGAATGTCCAAAAATTTAGAACCTTCTCATGCAATATGAAACAGGAATTTCTCAGATTTTCTGCAGTTTCCAAATTTTCAAATTATAGATTTTCAAAGTTCTCAAAATTTCTCAAAGTCACAAACATGATAATCTCAAATTTCCAAATATCCAAGTTAAATGCTCAACGACAAATTAAACACGCATTGCATTTCGTTCCACTCCACAATTCAATCGCATCTCTTTCTACTCAACGCTATACCAACATTATCAAAATATCGTTAAGTAATAAGATATCGATAATACACCAATCGATAATCATATTGCTACGATCACCGATAAAATGCGAAACAAATCACGTTATCGCGCAACGCGATGAATCGCGTATCAAAATGAAGATAAACGTTCGCTGAAAATCACGTTTTTCTGGGAAATTTGCGTCGAGGGAGTTGCGAAGAAGAAGAAGGAGAAGAAGATACACAGATAAAACAAGAAGAGATTATTGCAGCTGGTTTCGCAGTGCCAAACGCGTAACGATGACTTGCACTAGCGTGACGTGTAATTACATCAGTGAGCAAACTTTCACAGGAACAGCACGTAAGTCCATACGAGTGGAACGTCGTGAAATCGATGTCGCAAATCATTCCCATGAGGATCGCCCGCGGTGTTTTGCTCGAAAGGAAACTTACTAATTGGCCGCTGGGTCGTTGTACTACGCTGATATCGTTTTTCAGACTTCTACAGCCTGTTGTGAATTCAAAATTCACGCGTCGACCGTTCTGTTCTGGATAAACCATATACAACTTTGTCAATTTTCTTCTTGTTACTGCTTGTCTTTTTAACCTATTAATATTTCACTAGTTTTTCCCTCGATACGATGCCTGTATACTTGCATATCTTTTTACCTAGGTGGTCATCGAATTTACATGTTCAATTAACACGTTTGGAGCTAACGCCATGCATATGCAATGTAATACCTTCGAGTTATCTTGCAATAGTGGGACATTTATTTTTGTACTTTTTTGGACTGTGGGACTGTGGATTTTGGGATTTTAGGATTTTGAGATTTTGGGATTTGAAACTCGAAATTTTGGAATTCGGAAATTTGGAATTTGGAATTTTGGAATTCGGAAATTTGGAATTTGGAATTTTGGAATTCGGAAATTTGGAATTGGGAATTTTGGAACTCGGAAATTAGGAATTGAGAATTTTTGAATTCGGAAATGTAGAATTGGAAATTTTGGAACTCGGAAATTTGGAATTGAGAATTTTTGAATTCGGAAATGTAGAATTGGGAATTTTGGAACTCGGAAATTTGGAATTGGGAATTTTGAAATTTGCAATTTTGGAATTCGGAAATGTGGAATTAGGAATTTTGGAATTTGCAATTTTGGAATTCGGAAATGCGGAATTGGAAATTTTGGAATTCGAAAATGCGGAATTGGGAATTTTGAAATTTGCAATTTTGGAATTCGGAAATGTGAAATTAGGAATTTTGGAATTTGCAATTTTGGAACTCGGAATTTTGGAATTCGGAAATTTGGAATTGGGAATTTTGGAATTCGGAAATGTGGAATTGGGAATTTTGGAATTTGCAATTTTAGAACTCGGAAATTTGGAATTGGGAATTTTGGAATTTTGGAAAACATTAGTTACCAATGAATTAAATAATCTCGAACAAAATTCTAGGATGAAATATGGTTAGATTAAACGAGAACCAAAGACATGTGTCAATGTATCAAATTTACGATGACGCTATATCCGAACGAAAAGCGAAACCATAGTGTCACGTCGATTCAACAGGCTGCTATAAAGTAGAATCTCCTCCGTAGGGGATGAATCAACGGGGGTTTCGATTAAGGCTATCTATTTTCTTCTTTTTTTTTTACTTCCATAGAGATTCCGATGGACGTCGATAACGATGTCGACGAACAGATAACTGATAACTTTGTTCTACATGTACTTCCCACATGTTGAAGGATTAGCATGTCGATTACACAGAGAAAATTAATGGCCAACGACAAACACGGTATTATCCGGTGTAACTTGCAATATCCACCCCACGTTTCCGTTCCTCTGGTATCTTTCTCGTGCATATGAATTTCGTTTTATCGCCACGAAGTTTATCGCTTAGGCTCGGACCTTTTATACTTTTTAAATTATTTTATTATCACGATGTTTTTCAAATTATTCAAATTCTGAAATTACTACAATTTCAAATTTTACAAATTCTAAAATTTTTCAAGGGTGTAAATATTTTAAATTCCTCACACTCTTAAATTTTTGAATTCCTCAAATTTCTCAGTTTTCAAATTTTCCAAATTCTCAAATTTCTTAATTTTTTAAATTTTTTAAATTTTTCCAAATCTTTCCAAATTCTTTAAATTTCTCTAATTTCTTAAAGTCCGCAGTATTCATAGATTTTCAACTTCCCTACTCTTCTCAAGTGCCCCAAATCCGCTATAGTCCCTAGATTCCCTAGATCCCTTCGATAACCAGACTAGCTTCAATTTCCTAAATTTTTAAAATTCCCCAACTTCACCAAATTTTCGAAAACTACTTTTCCAAACTTCTAAACTTCCAAGTTTTTAAAATTTAAATTTAAAAATTCTACATACATCATCCACTTACTATTATTTCCCCTAAGGCTACTGTTTTCCACTAAACTATTTGGACACCTCAGACTTCCATGCCAATTACGACATAGTCAGCATGACGAAAATTGTCGCGACACGCGACATCTCGATAAAAAATTGATAAAATTAATCGATCCGATAATCCTCATTTGGTGACATTTACCTGAGGTAAATGTCGCTCTAGGGTTTTCCCCTGATCACAAGAAAGAATGTTTTTCCACCAACAGTGCATATTCGACAGTTACGCAGCTTCTTATTTTCTTAAACTTATAATTAATTTTCTTTGTGCATTCGGTAAATGAGTTCAAAACGCAAGTTTAATGATACAAGATTTTTTGCACGAAAAAAATATCGAGTCATCGTGAAACCGTTTTCCGATAAGAAACTATAAAACTTTTAATAATTTTGTAATTAATCTTGGAAGACGATGCTTTTATCTTTTTCTTAATGCAATAATCTCAGGTGGTAAACATTATTTTGTAATTACATATGGTGTGTGATATTAAAAAAGAAATAAATAATAGTTATTGTTAACTGCTTTAAAATAATTTGTTATTAATTATCTCAGAACGATTTGTCTTTGTTTATCTGAGATTTCTTGAAAATGCAAATAATCGAGATCTTTGCCTGTCTTTCGAAACAAATACAAATTTTGCAGTAACAAACGTAAAAATTGTGAAATATTGTTTTGCAAAACGGACGATTAAGGTTATCGATTCCATGAATGATCGTAGTAAACAAATTCCAGCTTCATATCGGTGCAACAATCAGATCAATGATGAATCATTGTACATTGTTTAAAGAATAAGATAAAATGATGCAATGGAGCCTTCGAAGATTGAGAAAACATTAGCGTTGCTCAGAAATATACTATCAAGTAATTGCACTTCGAAACTTTTAGATGCATCAAATAGTTCCTTTGAGAAAGAGCAGCATCTTCTAAAAATTGTTAAATTTTAATAGAAGGTCCTTTGAGGATATTTATTAAAAATGAAAAAAAAGATCCTTGATATTTATTTGCTTGATTATGCGACAGATGTGCAAGAATATGTCTATATCAATTTATCGAAGCATTTCAAAACATTTGCTGAACATATGTTTCGAATACATTAATGAATATATGAGTACATACTCATATTTTAAAATTAATAGGTTAATGCACATAAAATAAACATTTATATTATATAGAAAATTGGATGAGTTACATGTACGTGACTCTGGTGACGTACGTGTTAATGCATATCTTATATATACATGTAGCATCCATAAATTTTTTAGATCTCCTTTTTCAATTTAAAAAATTTTCTGATATAAACATTTCTACAACAGTTACCTACAAAAAATGGCAAAATTGTGAAAAAATTATAGAAGTACCATTTTTAATTCTTCTCGGTTTAGATCAAGCTCTTTTATTCACCAAAGATTTACAAAATGTTTTGGAATTACTTTAAACCTCCGCAAAATGACTAGTCTCCAAAGTGCAATTACTTGGATTCAAGATGCAATTATACCTATGATATATTAAATGATCTCTGCACAGTAGAGATCTATAGATTACATAGTTTGTACGATTTATACTTTACAAGCTTCGAAGTAATAAATCTTAGAAAGTAATAACCGTAAAGATGTGAAAAGTCAAATACAGAAATTACGAAGATCTCAAACATAATCCTCCAGAAAGAAATACAAGAGATCATGCACAAGAATCTCTTCGATCATGTGTACGATTTAATTTTCCAGGATGAGCCTTACCTAAGCAAGGAGGGTGGCGGTCTCGCGTGAGTCGTCGGCATCCAGATCAGGTCCAGGACACACAACACCATCAACGTGGCAAACAAACTTCTCACTCCCGTGAAGCTCCTCATGTTTCTTGCGACGTGAAACGTGATCGAAGATGGACCGAAAGAAATCAACTTTTCCCTCCGTGCGAAATCCGAAGGTAAATAATAAAACACTTTCGCGGTTCAACACTTAGCTCGGTCCGCAACCGACTCGCACTCGAAGAACTTAACCGTTAGTGTCACGTATCGTTCGCAATAATATGTCTTGTCGTGATCGGGTTTCTGTTCCTTTTTGTCGATCAGTGGCTGGTTGGCCCTATCCTTGTCGCTTTTGTCTCTTGGTGAACTGTAGCGTGGCTTGGTTCGCTTCGAGCATATATACTCACGAAGGAGAGTGCCGCCTCCACCTCCCCACTCGGCGCGTGGCCCATGCCCCACTCGTACCGGATCCTCCCTCACTTTTATCTCTTTCCTAGACTTCGACCCTTTTCCTTCGATTCGATCACACCTGAAGGTTTCGCAGCTTTTTGATAAGATACCTGCGCCGGACAGCTCATCCGAGTCGACATCCCACTGACTCTCCTCTGCGACTCTGATGCAACAGGCAACTCGCGAACCGCTATCAGAAACCAGATTATTTCACTGGATCTTGGAGTCACAGTGACTCACGCTTTTTCGATCTTGGGAATAGAAGTGTGACTACTGATATCGTTATCGATTGATATCGATAAGATTTTGTTGAGATGGCACAGATTGAAGTTAACGATCCCTGATTTTTGTGCAAGTTTTCATTTTTTGCGTTTCTTATTTTTTGCGGATTCTTAATATCTCGAATCGTTAGAGTCAAATTTTTTTATTGTTAAAGGACAAATTTCAGAATCGCTATATTTTCATATTTCTAAATTTCCCCAATTTACCTCTCCCAATTTAAGTTTCTAAATTTTCAAATTTCCTTGCTTGCAAATTCCTAATTTTGAATTGTTCAAATTTCTAAATGTCGAGGTTCCTCCCCAGTGATATAATATCAACTTGTCTGTACTCATTGCCTAGTTCCAATTGTGTAATTGCTCTTATGTCAATTGGTATCATGAACTTGAATATGTTACATCAGTCTGATATCAATAACATAATAACGTAAACATAAAATAGATGCAATATTGTTCACACGAAGTGTCGATATGGCTATCATATTTGAAGGTCCATGTGTGCTGTCCAAGCTCTCTAAATTTGATATACTCAAAATGCAGAAAATTACAGAAATTACAGAATGCTATTATCTTTATTCGACAGTTTTACAAATTTTAATAACCATATTACTAAGCGTTTCAAATGAAAGACCAACTCTCAACTGACAGAAATAACGCAAACGTCATAAAATTCATAGATGACATTTATTTACTTTTACGTGTATAGCACTCTTCCAAAGATCAGTCTAATAATGCTAACATTAGCTAAGTCAAATATTAGCTTATCAATAAATTTATTAGCAAAAATTATTGTAATGACAAATTATTTATGGTTAAGTTTACGTCAGTTCAAAAAATCGAACAAAGCTACCGAGACAAACCTTGTGAACCTAATTCAGTTACATGATTTAAAGATGTTTAATTTTGCACCTGTACCACTCATCGATTGATCTTAAAATGTGCCTTATTCTTTTTCTCATCAATAGAATGCAAGAATTGTTATATAACAGCCTATTGGTCAGCGTAGATCAAAAATGAAATGCAAGAAGAACGACCCAAGGCACAGAACGAGGTCATCATCGAGCTGAATTCATCCAACGGAAATCTTCCATGAATTCTGTCGGTGTCGGAACGAAAACGTGCCACTAGAACTTGCCATCACGTACATGGCCGCCAGAGAACACGACGATCGACACGTAGAAGCACGATCCTCCGAAAAATTTGGGCCGATTTCGCGACGTCACGCGGATGCATCGTGATCGTCGATGGACGCCGAGGATCCAAGCGTGATTCACGGATCGTTCAACCCGAGAAAAGCGGAGTTAGAGACAGGCTGAACCGGTTAGGATTTCCTTCGAGAATGTCGGGGAAATTTTTCGACAGGGGACTTTTCGATGAGACTGAATCGATACAAACGGAAAGCTACTTCATTGGAATGAATGCAATCGTTAACAGGAAGATTAATAGCAATTGTATAACGCATCTATTATCGAAGATATAAAAAACTAGTAACTTCGCATTCCGGTTCTGAATAGAAAATATTTCTTTGTATGTACAGAACAAATGGTACCATGTGTCATGCTAGTTTAACATTTCTTTGGAACACTATCTACGATTCTCGTTACGTTTTCCACGCCAGAAAATGGCCACTGTATCAATCACGGGTTAACGCGAAAAAGACTGCAGGTGTTAAATATGTAATTTGTGATATGCGATATGCAATGTCACGTATCCGTGATTAATATTCTTATCTTTATTTACTTTAAACGTAAATTGAAAATCAATACTATTTCAACGTATCTTTTATTAGATATAAAAAAGAGTATGACATTTCAAGAACTATAAATTTCGTAGAATGTATGTTCGTCAAAGTGGTAATTAATAGAAGATGTTAATTAGTACGATGTAACTTGCAACTGAATACGTATACATGTATGTAAGAAAGGAACGTGTACGTCTTCGGATACTGGTTACGTCGCACTAATTAACAGATGAAGAATACCGAAGCAATAATTACCACAGGGATATTGTAGCAATTAACCTTAACTCAACTTCCATTATTTTTAGGTATAATTCTTTATTTGTTTCTTTGAGAATTTGATATTTTTAATTCTTTAGAGACTCAAATTTCCAAATTCTTAAATTTTCAAATTCTGAAACCCCAAATTTCTAAATTCCTAAATTTTGAAATCCCAAATTCTTAAGTTTCCAAACTTTGAAACTACTAATTCCCAAACTATTAAATTTTGAAACCCCAAATTCCAAATTTTGAAATTTCTAAATTCCCAAATTTTGAAATCCCAAATTCCTGAATTCCCAAATTTTGAAACCCCGAATTCCTATGTTTTCAAATTTCTAAATTCCCAAATTTTGAAACCCCGAATTCCTAAATTTCCAAATTCGTAAACTACCAAATATTGAAACCCCGAATTCCTATATTCCCAAATTTTTAAACCCCGAATTCCTAAATTCCTAAATTTTCAAATTCGTAAACTACCAAATATTGAAACCCCGAATTCCTATATTTCCAAATCCCTAAATTCCCAAATTTTGAAACCCCAAATTCCTAAATTTCCAAATTCGTAAACCACCAAATATTGAAACCCCAAATTTCCAAATTTTGAAATTCCTAAATTCCCAAATTCTGAAACCTCAAATTTTTAAACATTAAATTCCTAAATTAGCAAACTTCTAACGTCTCATACTTCCAAACTTTTTAACACCCGAAACCTAGTACCCGGATTCGAAGATTTCCAAATACGCATCGAAATATTCCTTCCTGGAAATATCCTTCGAAACGATTAAGTATACAAGATTCAGGGGGTTTCCTATCTCATAAATCATCCTCGTACCATTCCACACAAGTCTGTTTCTCGCAATCATACGCTTTTCAATCATGTCTGATTGATGACGAGCGATCAACGAATGTAAGACACGTTTTTTTGAATACCTTATTTGATCCAAGGAAACTTCCGGCAATTAATTCGCATCATTATGCTTTTTTGTCGATGCAGAATCGATCTCTCTGACACTTTTCCATTCGATGAACTTATAATTAGCTATGTTTCTCGACTACTTTTTAACCTTTTCAGTTATTAAGTTTTGAATAAAAAGACCATAGAACAAAATATCTATTTTCGACCTAAGGTATCAATGGGTTGCAACAAACGGAAAATGCCACTGATCTAAAATAAATTTTTCAGTCCTGATTATTATGTTTGTTATTCGAAGTGTCTCTTCAATTGCGGAACAAATCCGATTTGAAAGGATTAAACAAATCTTGGTAATTAGGGTGAATGTACTCAGCGACCATATTTCCATTACAGAGCATATTGTTTCTTTCATTTCATTAATATATTATTTCTATTTTCGATCTTCGTGATTTAATCGATTTAATCGATCTCCGTGAGTTTCGCAGACAAATTGCATTTTCACTGGCGTCAGGTTTTGAATCTCTCAAACAAACACGACCTAAATTCTAAATTCCAAAATTTTCAAATTCCTAAACTCCAAAATTTTTAAACCCCAAATTCCTAAATTCTAAAATTCCTAAATTTTCAAATTCCCAAATTCCCAAATTCCCTAACACCAAAATTTTCAAATTTCTAATCCCCCAAATTTTGAAAACCCCAAATTTCGAAATTTTCAAATTCCCAAATTTCCAAATTTTGAAACCCCAAATCCCCAAATTCCCAAATTTTGAAACCCCAAATTTCTAAATCCTAAATTCCTAAATTCCCAAATGTTTAAATCCCAAATTCCCAGATTCCCAAATTCACAAATTCTCAAATTCCCAAATTCCCAAATTCCCTAATTCTCAAATTCCCAAATTCCCGAATTCCCGAATTCCCGAATTCCCAAATTCCCAAATTCCCAAATCCCTGAATTCCCAAATTTTGAAACCCCGAATTCCTATGTTTTCAAATTTCTAAATTCCCAAATTTTGAAA